CTTGAGCCCAGGAGTTTGAGGCTGCAGTGAGCTGTGATTGTACCACTGCACTCTAGCCTGGGTGGCAGAGCAAGACTCTATCTCTAAAAAAAAGAAAAGCCAAGTGCTGTACCTAAAACATGTAGTATATAAACTAGCTGAATTTAGAAATAAACTGTTCTCATGCTATAAAATTTGTTTCCCTAATGTGTTTTCTTTTTCTTTTTTTTTTTTTGAGACAGGGTCTCACTCTGTTGCCCAGGCCGGAGCGCAGTGGCAGCAATCCTGGCTCACTGCAACCTCTGCTTCCCACGTTCAAGTGATTCTCCCACCTCAGCCTCCCGAGTAGCTGGGATTACAGGCACACACCACCACGCCTGACTAATTTTTTTGTATTTTTAGTAGAGACAGGTTTCACCATGTTGGCCAGGCTGGTCTCAAACTCCTGGCCTTAAGTGATCTGCCTGCCTTGGCCTCCCGAAGTGTTAGGTGCTAGGTTCACATACACGATCCACTGTGCCCAGCTTCACTAATGTGTTTTCAACTAAAAAGAAAAAACTTTTCATTGCTCCAATACGAATTTGTCATGCCTTCTAACTTTTTAGCAAAGTCAGATAGCAACAGGAATGTGGTTTTAGATTGTGTTCTGGCATGTTCTGTGTTAGGGAGATGGGGAAAAAGGCCTGCTCTCATTCTTGCTGCTCTGATGATAGGGGCTAGGGGTAGGGGGAATGTGTGCTCCCCTGTTGACTTCCGGCCTTGTCAGCTCCCCCTTGCCCCCCGAAGCCTCCTCACTGTCCCTGTCGGGTTGCAGGTCTTCCACTGCCACTTCAACAGCAACTTCTTCCCCCTCTTCCTGGAGCATCTGTTGTCCGACCATATCTCCCTTTCCACGGGCTCCATCCTGTTGGGTAAGTGTGGTCCTCAGGTGCTTCATGCAGGCTGGAAGGACAGAGGCTTGCACCCCAGAAACCCTAGTCCAGCTGTGGGCATGGCCACCTCACCTGCTGGGACCCTGGTGGCAGAGGGTAGGGAGGAATCTGTTGTGGGAGTTGCACCTCCTAGCCCCCAGCTATTCCCCCCAGGAAGGGGTGGACAATCTTTTTAAGACACCAAGTGCAGGCCGGTGCGGTGGCTCAAGCCTGTAATCCCAGCACTTTGGGAGGCCGAGGTGGGTGGATCATGTCAGGAGATGGAGATCATCCTGGCCGACATGGTGAAACCCTGTCTCTACTAAAAATACAAAAATTAGCTGGGCATGGTGGCGACAGCCTATAATCCCAGCTACTTGGGAGGCTGAGGCAGGAGAATCGCTTGAACCCAGGAGGCGGAGGTTGCAGTGAGCCGAGATGGCGCCACTCCAGCCTGGCGACAGAGCAAGACTCTGTCTCAAAAAAATAAAAAAGAAAGTTGATCTATGAGGTGCATGGAGAGTACTAGGCCTCTCTGAGTACGAGACCCTCTGG